GCAACCTGTTCCAGTGTCTCACCACCCTCATAGGAAAGAATTTCTTCCTAATATCTAGTCTAAAGCTACCCTCTTCCAGTTTAAAGCCATTTTGCCTTGTTCTATCACTACCTGCCTTTGTAAAAAGTCCCTCCCCAGATTTCTTGTGGGCCCTTCAGGTACTGGAAGGCCACTATAGGATCTCCCCAAAGCCTTCTCTTCTCCAGGCTGAACAGCCCCAGGAGAACTGTACTTTTTTCCCTGTGTAGGCTGCAGGGTAGAAAGAGAGTGATGTTGTCATTCATACTCTCCTTGCAGACCATTCCTTTTCTTTAGGAACAAGAATTTTTTAATTTTTTTTATTCCCAAGTGGTCTAAATAATTGTAGGGAAGTCTCAAACTAGTTTACTAAAATGTCTCCCATTACTTATACGGAAATAAAACAAACTCTTTAATGTAATCAGCTAAAAAGGTATGTACTTAGGGTGGAATCCTTAGTCATAAATTCTGTAATGGAATGGTTTGAAACAGTTTTGGTCTCCCAATTGGAAATTGAGAACTAAACAGGTAACTGGTTTGCGGAAATTAAACAATGCTGCCCACTCTCAAAAATAAAGGCCCAAGAGAAATGAGTGGTAAGGAATGAAAGAGTTAAGAGGAAGAATTAAGTCAGTGATCTTATACCACCCAGGTATGTGTTATCTGAATTTCTCTAGACTGGTCTTGGATTCTGTTCCTGCAGGTGAACCTCTTCTGTTCCTTCTTAAGTGAATTTCAACAGTGAAGCACATAAAGTAGAAAAGTTGTTTTCAAAATCAGAACTCAAATAAAACTCATTTCTAATTTAATAGCAAAAAATTTTTGTTAAAAATTTGAAGTTACTGTTCTGAGATGAACTGTACCAAATGTTTCCTTCCATCTAGCTCACTCTGTTAAGGCTTGACTCTCCTCCCAGCTCCCTTTTCAAAAGAGGTGTATAATTCTGACTCTGTGCAACTAGATTTCTCTCTTGTTCACTGTCTATGTAAACTAGCGTATTATAAATTTTATTTGAAACCATATCAAATCTCTTTTTTATATATTCATCATTTTTCTTAGGATCAGTTCCATAAAATCCTTTTGTGTACAGCATAATCACACTTAAGTCTTGTCTAAGAAATAAATTCCCTGGCTGCTATATCAATTGGTTCATTGCCCTGAAAACTGAAGTGCTTCAGCCCATGTGAAACACAGCTCCGTTTTTAACATATAAAAAACATTACCAAAAAGGAGAACACAAATATAGTACCTGCCAAATCAAATCCTCACTGAAGCCTTAACTGTGAGCAAAGAAATTTTTTTAAGGCATTAAAATTGCAATCTTTTCCTCAAAGGAGAATTTTGATTCAACCATTTTAGAAACCTCTCTAAAACAGACTAACCACAACTAGAACAAATCCTATTCTTGGAACATGATAGAAAGCCATCACGGTTCATCAGCAGCAGGATAATACTTGTGAGCATGGTAAGAACACCTCATTACTGATATAGCATCTCCCAGACCATCAGTGCCTCTGATATTTTGTTAATAATTAGACATTTGCTTCATCCTCAGCTGGTGCAAAAAAAAAGTTGCATTCTTAGAATTGATAAGACATTAAATATTCTGAAATTCTTGGCTTTGTCCTGCTAACAACTTCCATGTAATTTTGTTCTTGACTTTCACATTATGTCATACTGCAATTTAGAAATAATCTGAAATATGTCAGCCTTTACATAAATAGCAGAATCAATAAAACTCTTTTTCGTATCAAAATGGAAAACCTCAATGCATTTCTGTTTAAAAAGCAAAATGTACATACTAACCCGAAATTTGGGCCATTGTTGGCAGCATTACTGTCCTTCAGTAAGTAATGATACCCCCATTTTATCATTTCTGTGACGAAGCTTACATCGATTCTGATGTATGTGCACCTGTACCACCAGAACCTCAATGGGAAGTACAAAGCAAATTCCTAACATCTCATGCTGTTTCCAGCAGAAATCTCATTTGTCAAGACAACAGGAGAAGATAAATCATTTTGGAATAACCTTTTGTTAGAATCTCTGCTTGTTCCGATATTGAAGTCACAATGCCTTTTCATCTGCATTGTGCTGTATTACAAATTGACTAAAAGAGAACTTCTTGCATGGAATAAGCAACAAAATCTTTAAAAACCATTTTGAGCACCCCCACACAAGGGAAGCAACACCAAATCATTATGAATTAATGACTATTTCTGAAAGTGCTAACAGGTTCAAGATGGTTTATTTATAAAATAATTTTAGAATTCAAAAGTATCAACCCTCTAGTCGGATAAACAAGAGGATTGTCCTCAAACTTCCATACTGTGCATATATTCTTTAGTGAACGAAAAATCATTAATCATAATCCTTGGGATTAGTTTGTTCTTTGAAATGCTTTGAATGGCAATTTAGGAACCAATAAGTCTCTTTTTTTTTTTTTTTTTTTTTTTTTTTTTTGTGCTGCACTCTAAAATCTCTCTGTACTCGTAGTTTTTAGTAGGTAGAATTATTTCAGTAAACATATATAGAAAGAATGAATTACCACCTAACCTTGACAATGCAGAAAATAATTTTAAGAACCATGTATGTAAAATGTCCCTAACTATGCTATTGATATGAGCATGAGATTATTAAAAGTGAAACATGCTTGGGATCCAAATCTGCTTTCATTGTTAACTTTCTGCATTTATTCATTGATATATGATAGTCTAAATTCTACTTTTCAGGACTGGGTCAGCAAGCACAAATGCACATGCTTGAATGTTTTTCAAATTCATAGTCATAGATAATTTCTTGTGAATTATTTTGACTTATATAAATGCATTAGCACAATACTTCAATATCCGACTTGTGAAAACTTGTAAACATTTACTGAACTTAAGGTTTTTTACTACAATAAAAACCTCATGAAAATTTTAGTTCCTAACATAACTTAGATATATTATAAAAAGGGAGAATATGACCACTGATTAGCATCTATCAGCAGTATTTCTATATGTACACGTACTTCAGACAACAATCTCCACCCATTTGCAGAGCATCATTTTGTCAAGATTGTTTCTTGCCTCCACCTTTAATCTACACACACTAGCCTAGAAGTCTAGGTGCTGAGCCACAGGTATACACATTATCTAACCCAGAATGACTCTGGTTTCATAACTCAGTTTACTAATACATACTTTCAAAATTGGGGTAAAAATGTAAGAAAATGTTAGAAACAGAGGTTAATAAACTAGTCAGCTGTGGAAGTCACTTTTCAAAAAGAAATCCCCATGTTGATTTTAGATGAGTAAGATAATTTTTGCTAACCTATCATTTCCATCTGATCCAATATCCTTGGAGATTTATTTATGATCTATTAAAATAAATGTTTTCATTTTGTTTTCTAATTAATATCTGTGAGAAAATGTCTAATAAAATACATTTTTATGAGTGCTAATATGCTGTAGATAACACAGAAACTAGATTATTTTTTGAAAACATCTATCTACCTGTACCATGCTGAGATATGTATCTCATTGTTCCTTCTATTTCGTAACATAAAGAAGCTCACCCTTCCCTTCCCACCCCTTAACGTGATGGCACTGCAATGTTGTCCTCATTTAGATGAATAAAAGCAGGTCCAGCCATTTTAAACAACACTTTTAGAATAGAATAGCACCTTTAAAATACCACTCAGGATGAACACCAAATTTAATTATAAATATGGAGTTTCTAAGTGAGATGCTATACTTCCAGAGAGTAGAGTTTCAAGTAATAGTTGATATGAAAATATAAATATGTGGTAGAAGACACCAAAAACTGTGGTTTCTCTCTCTTCAGCAGTGATGAAATTGTGTGATTTGCAAAGCACTATGTTATTATTCTGACTCAGAGCTGACTGAGACAAAACTTCAAAAGCTTTAGAAATTATAAAATATAGCAAATGTTTGTAAGTCTACTAAATTTTGTATTTATACCAGAACATGATGGAACACATACCTTTCTTCCCCCTGTGTTTATGCGAAGTGGAGTTAAGAAGGGATCAAAAATCATATGGCTGGTTTCAATATTGACAGGTGACTGTCTTTTTCCAACAGAGCAAAGATTCCAAGCTGAGTTCACCAAACCCCAAAAGGAGGGAACTGAAAAATATAAAAAAGTGCAAGTTTAAGAAAAGTCTGGAAAGACCCAAGAAATACGTGCAAGGCAGATAACCAGGTAATTAAACTTGTCATACTGTCTACATACATACACTGAAACTGAAAACAGGCAAATTCATGTAGCACTTTAAATTTAAAACTTCATACACAAAAACCAAAACATAATGTTTCATATATTTTTGTATCCAGGAAGAAGGTGAGATTTTTTTGTCTTTGAAGGTACACAGATATAATCCCAAATTCAACTATAAATAGTTCATTTGCTGTTAGTATTATAGCATATTTATTGAGCAGTAGGAACGTGACTCATTAGTCCTCATGCTAATTTTGCATACATGCAGTGTGTCCTTGGACTTAAACTGTTCCATTCTACTCAACTTTTTAGAAGTTTTCATATTTAGTAGAATTCTTTAAAACACCCAGCATTATTATAATAGAAGCTCACACGTTGTGATCCCAGAGAACAGGCCTGCTCTCTGGACAGGTTCTACTAATTTCTGTTCCATTCACCCAAACCTTTCTTTATTCAAAATTCTGATCTAAACCAAATCTTGTTGAAAAAGCCATACTCTGATGGTGAAGAAGGAGAGTTCCTCCCCTGTATGTGTAATGGCTTGGAACATGGAAGAACACCTGTTTTTTGACAAGCTGAGTTACTTTCTGTTCCCCTAATTGGAAAAATATGTGATGTAACTGTAAACTGCTTGTCATCAGATGAAGGTTCATATTGCATCTCATCTGCAATTTAGAGACAAAACGAACCTGAACTTCTCTTTAGATGGTGAAAAAAATCTCTGACTAAATGACTAAAGAGCAGCTAACAAGATACACAAAGGCTATGCCCCTCTCTGAAGTACGTAAGGCAACTCTGACTTTATCAGAATTATTCTGTAGTTTTGTGTAGCAGGTGGAAATTTCACAGGTGTGACTGTTATTCCTTTTTTGGGTTTATTTTTTCTTTTTACATTTTGTTAAGTTTTCCTAACCTTTGAGCCCCAAAGCATTCCTCCAATCCACCAACTCAGGCTGGGGTCAGGAGCACAGGTGTTTTGCCCAGAGGGTGGAGCTGAAAACAACCCATGAGCTGCTTATAAAAAGCTTTTTGGTTGCTGCAGCTAATTGTCTGCAGGATTTTGCAGTGTGAATGTTGGCTTCTTCTTGTAGTTTCTGGCTACTCTAGTGGGAACCACGTAGAGCATTGGTTGAATTTGAATCTCACATTTATAGTAGACTTAACCTATTGGGATGATATTCCTTGGAAGGGAGACAAGTGGCATTTATCTTCTCAGTAGTGTAGCTTCAGGAAAATGGCTGATCTTGGTGAGTGTTTTTCTATCACATTTTATAGAACAACTCAGTTCTTTATCCTTGAAGTCTGAGTGTACTTAACTTTGGTTGGGCTAATATATAGCTTAATGTAACTTTTCTATAAAAGCAGACAAACTTTAGGGTTTTTTTAGGCTATTGCTTGCACAGCAAATCTTCAGCACAAGTATCTATACAGAAGTGATGGAAATTGTTTTGCAGTTGTTGAGTATCTGCCTATTCCAGTAGTTCATAAGCTATCATCCACAGATGTTACCTTTATGACAAAATATCCGAGAACTCAATTTCCAGCTGAAGCTTTTCCTTCTTTGTGCTAACCTGTCTGTGCATCTACAGGTGCTACTCAGGCAGGTGAGCTCAAACAGCCCTGAAGGGATTCAAGTGGTACAGCCATAATTGAAATGTTATGGTTAGTAAAGCTTAAAGGTTTCCTTGTATTCCCTAGCTGAACAGTTTTGAACTGAACATGCACTAGTAATACCTTAAATTCAGTGATGTAATATCTTTTCTTAATACCTGACATGGACAATGAAATCAGCTCACATGCAAAGCCTAAAAATGGGTAACTATTCTTAGTATGTGCTACATGAAATCTGTAAGGAGGGATGATAGTGTGATGTCCTATGGCTCTGGGAAAGCAAAGATCAAGGAATAGCACCCAAACTAGCTGGAATTGCAGATACATCAAATTACATCATAATCTTCTATTTGAATAACAAATCCTAGGTGCAAACACCCCCTAGAAGGTCGGATGGAAGGCTTTAAAGTAAGTGAAGCTTTGTGTGACCAGAAAAATGAACAGGCAGTATGGTCTTAAAAAATTTATTTGGTTCCTCTGTTTACCCTACTAGTCAATTCCCACTTCCATTGGAGACTTAGAAGACTATAGACGTTCCCAGAGTATGCTAAATGATAGTGCTAATGCTTTGAAATGGAATAAAATAAATGCAGTGCAATTAAAAATAAAACAGAGCACCCTTAATTATTTGTGCTTTTTCTCAAGAGAAATACCATAGGATCTCACTTCAGTTTTTGTCAGAGAAAATCCCTCTTTATGCAGAGGTCTAAAATAAGTTTAGGTTAATGGAGATAGCCTGGTTTCACTTGATAAATCCCCCTGTGGTGTTATTAAAAAAAAAAAAAAAAAAAAAAAGGAAAGAAATTAATGATGAAACTCTAGAGCTGTAGGTTCAAGAGGGGGAAATATTAAAAGGCAAATCTGTTGCATGACAGTTTCTAGTATTACTAAAAAAAAAAATCTTTTGGGCAGAAATACCCTTGGTATTGGTAAAACCAATTCTTTAGCAAACTCTTAAAACAAATAAAAAAACTAGACATGGTAAGTGCAATAAAATGGCAAGCCAAACAGGGTAATCCATTATCTTAAAGTTCATATTACTTAAAGAGTTTATGATGTAACTGGAATTGTCCCTGAAAAGCTGCCCTGGAAAATAGCTGCTATAAGGGGATGTTTTATAATGTTATTTCTGTTTTTGACAGGGAAACCTTGCACTCTGTGCAATGCCTGTCACACCAGCCCACCACCGGAAAGTCAAGAAGGTGGAGATCCAATATTGTGATGTTGCACTGCAAAGGTTAGACTTGTCACCCAGACATGTAAGTTTGTGTTGCAATCTTTGATTTATTTCTAAATGCCTAGGAAGCTCATGCTTAAGAATCTCTTTGGTATGTGCTTGTTGCTAGCTCTGTTATGTATGGTTAGACAAAAAGAAAGTACAGTGATGGTAAACTTACTCCAGTGATCACAACGACTTTGCTTATGCTTCAACTGAAGGTTAATTAAGGATCACCAACCTAAGACTGCACACCTAAGTAATGGATGGGGATATTATATAATATTAATATCTGATTAAATTTAATTAAAGTAATTAGTGCTGCTGCTGCTTAGATGCTCAAAGTAATAGAAAAGTATTCAGAACTGTAATGGAAAAATCCAAGGAGGCTTCATGTAGGAAACCAAGGCTTAAATTAAACACAAGTAGTGAATTAACTGTTTAGTCTAAAGAATTTAGTGTATGAATCTAGGAAAACATATAAAAATATTAACTATTTTATTATTCCAACTTAGCTAACAGACAAGGCTCTACTAGAGGTTAAGCCACAACTGGTTCCCTGCAATTAGGTTGTATTTCCATAAAAATCCATGTATGAATTCATGTATGAATGGGAATATGCTGCATCTTTGTGTGTGGACCTCTGAAGCATTTTAGACAGCAGGCTGGCTCCTGTGCTGTACAGGAGCTACACTTACAAGCTAGTTTGCATGCAGCCCACATACTAGCTTACAATCTCATTTAACAAAGTTCTCTAGCTACTGGTTACTCTGCCAAAAGTTTCTGTATACTGATCATGTTATCTCTGCCTTTGTCTATGAACCTCCTTAAGATTATACCCCTTGAGAGCTGATTTGTTGCAAACATGCTACACAGACAGAAGGTGATAAGTTTATGTCTGATCAATGTCATGCCTGTAGCCTCCTCAAAACAGAAAGAATATTGGATAAATTCAAAGTTTTCCTCTGTATGATTGTACTCTATGGACAACAGGCTTCTTTTTTGGTGTGTGTGTTATATGGGGAGAAGATGAGAGGGATTACTTATATTTTATATCTATGCACAAATCTCTGACATCCTTATTCCATAGTCTGTATCTTATTGCAGCTGCTCTTTTTTCAATTTACTGGGAACAATTTCTATTGAGATATATGAAGATGCTCTAGTGTTAGCATGACACAATAGGATGAGGGATTCTGATGGCTTTTACAAAACCTATGCATAACAGTGAAATAATAGCAGCTAGAACAATAAAGCAGGGATTGAATGTTCTCCCAGTGATGAGTACCAAGGATTTGCCCAAATAAATACAAGCCTCCCTTCTCCAGAGAAAAGCAATGAGTGAACAGTGTCCGATAAGGAT